ATTAGTGTTGGTTTGCTGTTCATGTTTTTTTGCTAGCCAGCTGGGTTTTCAAAGATACATATCTGGCTTTGGAATGTTGGTTTGCTGCCCCCCCACCTCTACTTTTGTGATGATAATGCTGCTAAAGCTGTTCCATGCCTATTGGCCTAATACCCCAAGCTTGTACTTTACCCTATAAAACTTCATGCGCACATCTTGGAGGTGCTCAGAGCTTCGGAGCAGAAGCCCCTCTGAGCCCATCGGCGTAATACATCTGAGTACTCCAACCCTCCGAGTGGTGCTTGTTTCTTGACTGGCCTGTCATTTCTGTAACAGTTCAAGCCAGAAGAGAAGCGCCAAGAGGACCTCAGATTGCTACCTCATCCTGACCTAGAATTCAGCCCCAGAAAAGGGATAGGACCCTGAGAGAAGCTTGCCATTGCTCCACCTCCTGCTCCAAAGCCTTGACTCAGTGATTGTGCCTGAGTCCTTCCATAAAACAGATAGCTCTTAATCTCTTCCAAAAAACTGATTTCATTTGCAACAGAACATGGAGAAATTCAAGACAAAGGATGCTCTCAAAAATCTGGAGGTTATAGTGATAGGCAATTGAGAGATTCAAGATAGGGGTTAAATCGTAGGCTGGCTGGTTTGCAGAAGAGAATCACAGATCGAGACAGCTCTGGGGAAGCCCCCCAGGGTAAGACAAATATTAAACCTTGACCTCATAAACTATTGCTTCAAAGGGGCCAGAATTTGATTGGATTTATTTGAAAAACAATATACCCCCCAGAGCATTCTTGTAAATAATACACCAAGCAGCCAGCAAACTGGTGGAATTTAACAGATGGGTGTGGTCAGAGAAGAGGAAGAGAGCCCTACCCAAATTACTATAATGCCAGGATAACAAGTCAGAAGGGTTTGACAACATTTAAGGGGTGGAGCTTGTGGAGGGGGCTTGATAAACTTCACTAAAGTAATCCAGCCAGCCACTAAATAAATAAACAAGCAAATAACAATAACAAAGTTGGGGTGATAGTAAGTGGGGAGGAGACACTTATGTGGAGTTGCTACAATATATTATCAAAAATGTCTGTTTTCCAACAAAAAATTATGAAGCATGCAAAGAGACAGGAAAGTATGACCCATACATTGGAAAAATAGCAGACAACAGAAACTGTCTCTAAGAGCAACCGGATATTTGGGTTTAGCAGGAAAAAAAAATTCAAAGTAGCCACTAAAAGCATATTCACAGAACTAAAGAAAAGCTTGATTAAAGTACAACAATGTCATATCATATAGAAAATATCAATAAAAAGATCTTTAGCCCCTAGAGCAGGGATGTGACTCAGAAATTATAAAAATGAACCAAATAGAAATTCTGGAGTTAAAGTACAATAACTGAAATAACTTCATTGGGGGTTAACAGGAGACTTGAACTGGCAGAAGAAAGAATAAGCTAACTTGAAGATAGATGGGTAGGGATTATGCAAGCCAGAGAATAGAGAAAAATGTAAAGAGCTTCAGAGAAGTGTAGGATATCATTAAGCACATCAGCATGTGCATATTAGGAATACCAGAAGGAGAGGAGGGTGAAGGAGGAGCAGAAAAAATATTCAAAGAAATAATGGCTAAAAACTTTCCAAATTTATTGAAAAGCTATTACCTATGCATCCAGGAAGCTCAACAAACTCCAAGTAGGATAAATGCAAAGAGATCTACAGACACAACAGAGCAAAATGCTGAAAGTCAAAGACAAGAAAGAAAGCTTGAAAACAGCAAGAGAAAAATGACTCATTACTTATAAGTAACTAGCAGTAAGATTAATAGCTGCCTTCCCAGCAAACACAAGAAAGACCAAGAGGCAATGAGATAACATCTTTAATAAAGTACTTGAAGAAAAAAACTTTCAACCAAGAATCCTATGTCCAGCAAAACAATCTTGTGAAAATAAGATTGGAGAAATAAGGGGAAATACTTTCCCAAATAAACAAAAACTAAATTTGTGGTAGCAAATCTGCCTTATAAGAAATACTGAAGGAAGTTCCTCTGACTAAAAGCAAATAACCCTAGACAGCAATTCAAATTCATAATCCCCCCCACAAAAAACCTACAAAAAGTAATTATATAATTGTAAAAGACAGTATAAATAAATATTTTTCCTACTCTTAACTGATTTAAAAAGCAATTGTATAGAATAACATAATGGATTGCTGTGCCTGTAATGTATAGAAATTAATATATGTGAAATGTTTTTGCTAATAACACAAAGAAGGTGGGTGGGAACAAAGCTGTATTGGAATAAGGAAATGACTACAGATGGTAAAGTAATAATAATAACAGTGTATTGTTGGGTGTGTAACATTAACTGATGTAATATGTATAACAAAATACCACAAAGGGTGGGGCTGGGGGAGAAGTAGAGGTATATAGGAGCATTTCTGTATAGAACTGGAGCTAGCTGACATAAATCCAAAACTGCTTCTGATAAGATGTATACAGAAAACCTTAGAGCACTAAACAATAAGTCAAAAATATATAGTGAAAAATCATTAAAAAATTAAGATGCTTCATTAGAAAATATTCCCCTAATGCAAAAGAAAGCAATAAAGAAGAAATAGAGGAACAAAAAGACAAATAGAAAACAAAACGTAAAATGACACATGCAAATCCAACTATATCAATAATAACATTAAATTAAAATGGATTGAATGATCCAATCAAAATGAAAGTTTGTTTGACTGGATTAAAAAAAACCCTAAAAATCAACAATCCAACTGTAATTGTCTATAGGAGACACATTTTAGATTCACAGATACAGACTGAAAGTAAAATATGGGAAGAGATATCATGTAAATAGCAACTGCAAGAAAGCTGTAATGGCTGTATTGACATCAGACAACATAGACTTTAAAACCAAAAATCGTTACTAGGGACAAAGAAGGATATCTTGTAAGAAAAAAAATGTCAATCCATCAGATATAATCATAAATAAATATGCCTAATAACAAAGAACCAAAATACATAAAGCAAAGTTGAAAGATATAAATAAGAAATGGATGATGTAAAAATAATAGTTGGAAATTTTGATGGTCCACTTTCAATAATGGATAGAACAACTAGACAGACAATAAGGAAACTGAAGTCTTGAGCAACACTTTAAACCAACTAGACCTAACTGACAGCTGTAGAACACTTCACTCAACAACAGAATCAATATACCTGAATATATATTTAAGTGCACATGGAACATTCTCCAGGACATACCATCTGCTAGGCTATAAAACAACCTCAATAAATTTAAAGGGATAGAAATAATATAAAGTATCTTTTCTGACCACAGTAAAATGAAATTAGAAAAAGCTGATAACAGGGAAAATTGGTAAAACTTACAAATACATGACAAACAAATAACACACTCCTAAATAACCAGTGAGTCAAAAAAGAAATCAAAAGGAAAATCTGAAAATATTTGGAGATAAATGAAAATCACAACATACCAAAACTTATGAAATGCAGCTAAAGCTGTGCTTAGAGAGAAATGTATAACTTTAAATGCCTATATTAAGCAAAAAGAAAGATCTCAAATCAATAACCTAACCTTCTACCTTAAAACACTGTTAAAAAGAGTAGACTCATCCTAAAGCAGCCAAAGGAAGGAAATAAAAAAATATTAAAGTGGAAACAAATAAAATACAGAATAGAAAAACAATAGAGAAAATCAATTAAACCAAAAGCTAATTTTTTAAAAAGGGGAACAAAACTGCAAAACTTTTGCTACACTGACCAAGAGAAAAAGAAGATTTGAATCATAAATGAAAGAGGACACATTACCACTGACCCCACAGAAATAAAAGGTGTTACAAAGGAACACTGAATAATTGACAACAAATTAGGTAGCCTAGATGGACAAATCCCTAGAAAGACACAAACTATCAAAACTGATTCAAGAAGAAACAGACAATCTAAGTAGACATATACTTATACATGACATAACATTGACGGACCTTGAAAATATTCTGCTAATGGCGCACACACACACACACACACACACACACACACAGTGTTTGTATAAACTTGTACAATCAAAAAGAAAAGTATTTAGTAGAAATGTTGTGGGAAAATATATAGACAGTTCGCAGAAGAGGAAATATAAATGGCTTAAAAACATTTGATATAACCACTCCTTTCTCCCTCCTACACCAGCATAGACGCTTCCCCCAACCTGCCCCAGCTCTTATACCTCACATCAGACAGCCACTCTGCTTCCGTGCCTACTTTGCCCTGCCCCACATAGTGGCTTTAGGGCTGGATTATAAAGAGGGAAGAAGGGAAGGAAAGATGTAACACATTTTTTAAAATCATGAATGAACTCCGAATTTAACTAAGTGCTTTTCCTGCATCTTAGCAATCCCTCTCCAGAGACAAGTTTTCACTTCTTTTAGATG